GATTGCTCTTTCTAACCTCAGGAGACTTAGTTGTGATTCTCATATATCGCTCATTTTAGTCTCAACAGTGTCTCAGATGTTTCTCCTAAACATCCTTAGGAGAAATAAAAGTAGACACAACTGAGACATGAGAAAGTTCTGAATGAAAGGAATCCAAAATGACAATGGGAGATACGTGTGAGAAACATGGGAGATCTCTTTATTGTCTTGCTGTAATCTCTTGCGAGACTCCATTATAAAACTATTTTACTGCTCAGAGGTTGCTGTTGCTTATTGTATTGTATTGGGGTTTTTCACCTTTAATGGCCACAGTAGGAGTAGAGACAGGAAACAATTGGACAGGTGAGAATTGAACAGGAGCAGGAAAGTACCTTTAGCTGGGATTCAAGCCCATGTTGTCTGAGGTACAGTTGTGCCTTCCCATTTTTGCATGTATGTAATATTACTGTGCAATAAAACACTACATAAAACAACTTCAAATATAACAATGCATGTATTGTCTTTGATTGAAATGGTGTGGATAAATGACATTGAAGCTAACCAAAGGGGGGAAAAAATAGATCTCTTTACCATTTCAAATATTTCTCCTAGACAGAAATGGGGTTACCTTAAGATTGAATGGAAACTTTTGCTTGAATCTCCTGCTTCTCAAACTTGTCTCCTGAGACAAAAACTCTAACACTGTCGCACTGGTCTTCTTTAAAGCTTTAAAAGAGGTCTCAACAACATCACATACTGTGCTCAGATTTTTCTCCTACACTAAAGACTCGAGAGCGCTCACATTTGTCTCCTTTAAATTTCAGAAGTGATCACAATAACTTTACAAAGTGTGCACCAAGTCAAATGCCTCAATATGAGCTCAAACATTGCTTCCATATAATATGTATTAATAATCAAATTAGTCAATTAATAATCAAGACTGAGTCTTAAGCCATTTATGTGCCTTTCAGCAAAGAAAGCTCCACTGTTACATTTTCTGTAAATCAGTTTTGATTAAGGCATCCGCTACATTAATATTTCCAACAACAAATTATGTGCCTAAGTACATAAACATTGTCCCATAAAAAGTAACATTATCCTTATTTCTGCATAATTTCTCTCTCAATATAGCCTTTAACTCTGAATTTATGATTTCCCCCCCTTTACTTAGTGGTTTTCAAGTACTTGACTTGATGCACACTTTGTAAAGTTGTTGAGATCTCTTCTAAAGCTTTACAGGAGACAAATATGAGACCCCCAGATTATTTAGCTAAAGAGATAAAAATCTGAGCACAGTGTGTGACGTTGTTAAGATCTTGTTTGAAACTTTGGAGGAGACAAATGTGAGAGATCCAGAGTCTCTAGCTAAGGAGACTCTCTAGCAAAACTCCATTTTTCTTCTCTGGCCAGACGAAACCAGCAGTTTAATTGCAGGCTGCAGCAAAGTCAGATTGTGCAGAGGACTGGTCTGGTTCCTGTGGTCTTAGTGTTGAAAGTACACACACACACACACACACTATGTAGTTGCAGTGGAGCGGTCTGGTCACATGGCAGTGTTTGGTGCCCCTTCACTACCTAGGGAACTGACTGAGATGTACCCTGCTTTGAAACGGGCTTGTGAAAGGATTCAGTTGTTTATTCTCATTCGGAACGACGAACTCCTTCCAAAGCGCCATTCACGAGAACAGAAACGCCATTTGGAGTTTAGCTCGTTTGAAAAAAAAAAAAGCGAGATTTCAGCAAGGCTGGTTGTTAGTCACGTTTAATGTTTTCTTTTAACTTCACGGTACAATTGCAAAAGTTTGCACATGCAAAAACCCATTCAACATGCCCACATTTCGTTTTCATTACACGTTTCGTCGTATTAAGCATCAATGGCTTATAAAAGAGAAAGACCGCGCAATCTCTTCATGCCATCCTTTCACTTCACGGAAACACAAAAATATCATACAACATGCCAAAATTAAACCTAAAATTCATTATAGTAACACAGTTTTGACATTAAGTGTTTTATGGATTAAACAAGAAAAACCACGTTCCCTTAACTTAAACAGCTAATTTCCCTCAGACATATTCATAAAACGCGTATGTACGTTTGTGTATAAATATAAGTTTTAAATAATACGTTTACACCTTTTTTAATATACAAGTTTTGATAAATTCAGTCTAAGTAATGTTACAAATATTTATTCAGTGCCACTTAACTTACCTGACGCATTAACTTTACATACACATACATTTTTCTTCGGACATGCAACTTATAAAACACTTCTAAATATCCACTCAAAAACATCGGATATGCTGTACGTTTTTGTCGATAAATTTAGTCTAAAAAATAACATTCATTTAGTGGCACTTACCTGACACGTGAACTTGACAAGATGGCGGCGCTGTTGCTCCCACGAAGTCACTCGGGCTCGTGCACATGTTGGCTGGATTTGTTTTTATTAGTTTTGTTAACATTTAGCATTCTGAATGTTGATTTGGATTTGAAAATAATCATTCATTCAATGTTTTTTAAATATATTTGTGTAGACTTAATATAATATGTCTTCTCAACTAAGCCCAAGCAAGAAAATTAGCTCAACTTAAATATGTTTGCCCTTCCAACATTTTGTTAATTGGATTTTTTACAGTGTGGCATTCATGTGCGGTTAGCTTGTAAACACAATATTGCCAACATGACTTGAACGCACCAATAGAGAATAAGTACGGACTGCTTTTGGTGCTTGATTACTTTATTAGTAATTTTGTGTTTCAATAATGAGGTCAAGAATACTCTGTAAATTACTTAAATGTAAAATGTTTTTCTATATTTAACAACATTAACTTACAGTAGTGAAATAGTTGGAATTGCTGTTAGTGCAAATACCACTCCAGCCGGCAGAGGATTCTGCTTGGTTTTAAAGCATTCCTCGAATGGCTAATGTTAGAAAATTAAACACTGATGTCCAAAAGAATGATTACTTATCCATTTAGGGTGTGTTATTCATATGGTCTTGGTCAGTTGTTCTCAAACTTTTTGCAGTCACGTACCCCCCAGGCATTTAACGTCCTTCTGCATACCCCCTTTTTCACACTCAAGGAAGCTACTTTCCATTGAAAATAGTTGGCAACGCTGTTTCCATTCATAACTATACATAGGTGTGTTGGACTTGAAGCGACGTTGCATAGACCAATTGGTGTTTGACTTGAAGTATAGTGCATGCTGCTTGGTATTTTTGTCTGACTTGAGACAGCGGAGATATATTGCAACCGGCAAACCATGCGGAACCAATTTTCTTGTGATTTTGGCGATCGCACCCAGTCTATTCATACAAAATCCAGCACACTAAGCTGCAGCAGCCACATGCATAAGCTGTCAGGTAACACTTAGATTTCATTTCCCACACGCACCTTCACTTCCGTTTTACTCCTTATATGTCTTTTTCCGTTTTCCATAATTCCGCCTGATTGTGGGTAAGGTACAAGAACCGGCACAGACTTTTTCCTGTATTGCCACACTAACGCTACATGACTGTGATGTATGCCATCAAAGTGTATATAAACCATGCAGTATTAATGAGACATTCGCACAATGTAATTAACATCAAAATAAATTCACAAGAGCAAGTATATTGTTTGCACATGTTTATTTACATTAAAGGCAAAATAACTGAAATAATAAGAGCACAAGTATAGATCTGGAAATTATTTAAGTCTGTCTAAATATAATTTAGTAATTGCAATGTCTTCTGGTCCATATCCTTTTCTTAGGAAGGTGTGCTAGACACTGATTAATGTAACATAAAAAAACTATATGCCTACATATTTATATATTTTGCTATTGTATTGTGGAGTGACACTTTCATAAACTTTTCTATACTCCTCTGATAATATAATGGTAAATATTACAATATCATAGCACAACAACAGTGATCAGCAATAATGATAAGCCGAATACTCACAATAAAAATAATAAGGTCATATAGATCATAACACAGTCTCGGAGCTAAGAAGTGGATTATCCTTCACCTGAAATGTTTGGCTTTTCATCCTGAAATGCGAGGCAAATGTTGGATCACAATAATTAGGAACCACAGTTTCCACAAATCCCTTCATTTGATTGGGATGTTCTTTTATTCTGGAGGGCAAGGGCAGTGACTGTAACATCGAGCGTATTTTGCAGTATTAAACACAGATTTATACTGATTTCATCAGGCTTCAAAAATTCTTCAAAAAGAACACAAAGAATGGCCTTCTCAGCTGCCATAGTTGCAACTCTTGCGTCATCAGAACAGTGTGTTCAACGCACCACCGTTTCCATTTAAAAAACGTTTTGCACCGTTTTGTCTGGGCTGAACGCAGGCCAGATGATGGCACAGCTACACGACATCGATCGACAACGATCACGTGGGTTTCTTCTTCATTCCGGGACATTCAGCTGATGCTTTTTATACTGTTATTTTTACTATTACTTTTCATTTAACCATAATTAAGTTATTTTGCGTCATGTTCATCAAAATAAAACGGATAAAAACTATATAAACCCACTTGTGATCAACGTTTTCGTAACTAATTGGGTTGGGGAATGTGGCTATTAACATATTAACATTTTAATTATATTCTGCTGAAATGAACAAAATGACTTGAAAAAAGATTAGTTCATTTTCCTGAACGAGATTCAAAGATCCAAATCAGTAAAATAATGCATCTAATGGATATTAGGGTGAATATTTGCTAGTTTTTAAAATGCCTGATTTCACATTATTTTGCTGGATATACACATTTTTAGTTCAAGGGTTCCAGTAATTATGCACATAAATATTAACAGGTAATGATATTCTCACTGTCAGTAACTCTAATTGCATCAGTAAATCGTGATTGGTGGTGGGTTTTCACTGCAAAACAACAACAACAAAAAATGGCCCAATTTTTGAAAATGGCTGCAGCAATTTCATGTTGTGCCTCAAAAATAATGCATTGATAATACACTTGACATTATATTTACATTCATACTCCATATTATCTCTGTCTTTCAGATATGTCAGCAGGTCCAGATGATCCAGTGATCCGGATTCTTCTGATGGGCAGAAAGGGTTCTGGGAAAAGCTCATCTGGAAACACGATACTGGGAGAAAGAAAGTTTAAAGTTAAAAAGAAGCATGAGTGTGAAGTTTGTAAAGAAGTAACCCAGATTGGAGAGAAGCAGGTGCATGTGATTGATTGTCCAGACCTACTGGTTCCAGATCTGAATAAAGACAAGCTGGAGAAACTGAAAGAGCAGCTGGTCTCTCAATGTTCAGCAGGTCTCAGTTCAGTTCTGATCACAGTTCCTTTAGAGGAACATGTGGAAAAAGAGGAAGAGATCCTGGATTATATTAAGTGTTTATTAGGTCCTGAAGTTCAGAAGTACATCATGATTCTGTTCACACATGGAGATGATCTGGAGGAGCTGGAGGAGACCATTGATGAACATCTACAAAACCATGAAGATCTTCAGCGACTGGTGACTGAATGTGGAGGAAAGTTTCACTGTTTCGAAAACAAGAGTCAATCACAAGATCAGGTACAAGAACTACTGCAGAAGATTGAAGGAACGATGATGGAGAACGGAGGGAAGTTTACCATGGAACAAATGAGGAGGAGTGACAGCAAGAACACTATTGTCAATTGTAAGTTGCTCTTTTGGTGTAAGTTATTTAAGTAATACATAAATTGGGCCACATTTGTCAAACTTTAGACCTAGATAGCTACATATTATTCTTTCACACATATATTTACACAGATACACACATATTTCCATTAGCCCATGAGTTAATCTCTTAATCCTACAAACAAGTGTTTTCCTTGTGAATATTAATGTGTACAATCGCACTGGTGTGAAAACCTTATTCATGGTGTAAGATATTCATACAGCTTTGGTCAGAGAGACAGAGGGGCTGTTCAGTGTTTTCAACCATGTCATGTTTATTTTATGTCTTAGACATGTAATTACACAGATCTACTAGCCAAAAATATTTACTTAGTAAAATGTCTAATAATAATGGAGAAAATAACCCTAAGGAAAACAGAAATATAACTGAAACACAACTCAGGGCAAAGTGTCACATGATTAAGTAAAGTAAAGAAGAATTTCGATATTAGTATTTCGACTTTATTCTCGTAGTATTTCGACTTTATTCTCGTAGTATTTCAACTTTATTCTCGTAGTATTTCGACTTTATTCTCGTAGTATTTTCATAGTTTTTCGACTTTATTTTCGTAGTATTTCGACTTTATTCTCGTAGTATTTCGACTTTATTCTCGTAATATTTCAACTTTATTCTCAAAACATTTCAACTTTGTTCTCGTAATATTTCGACTTTATTCTCGTAGTATTTCGACTTTATTCTCGTAATATTTCAACTTTATTCTCAAAACATTTCAACTTTGTTCTCGTAATATTTCGACTTTATTCTCGTAGTATTTCGACTTTATTCTCGTAATATTTCAACTTTATTCTCGTAGTATTTAGACTTTATTCTCGTAATATTTAGACTTTATTCTCAAAACATTTCAACTTTAATCTCGTAATATTTCAACTTTATTCTCGTAGTATTTCGACTTTATTCTCGTAGTATTTCGACTTTATTCTCAAAACATTCGACTTTATTCTCGTAGTATTTCGACTTTATTCTCGTAATATTTCGACTTTATTCTCGTAATATTTCAACTTTATTCTCGTAGTATTCCGACTTTATTCTTGTAGTTTTTCGACTTTATTCTCGTAGTATTTAGACTTTATTCTCAAAACATTTCGACTTTATTCTCGTAATTTTTCGACTTTATTCTCGTAATATTTCGACTTTATTCTCAAAATATTTAGACTTTATTCTCGAAACATTACGACTTTATTCTCGCAACATTTCGACTTTATTCTTGTAATATTTTGACTTTATTCTCTAAATATTTCGACTTTATTCTCGTAATATTTCGACTTTATTCTCGTAATATTTCGACTTTATTCTCGTAGTATTTCGACTTTATTCTCGTAATATTTCGACTTTATTCTCGCAACATTTCGACTTTATTCTTGTAATATTTCGACTTTATTCTCGTAGTATTTCGACTTTATTCTCGTAATATTTAATCTTTATTCTCATAATATTTCGACTTTATTCTCAAAATATTTCGACTTTATTCTCGAAACATTTCGACTTTATTCTCGTAGTATTTCGACTTTATTCTCGAAATATTACGACTTTTATCTCGTAATCTTAGATTTAAAAAAAATATATTTTAACGTGGCTCTAAAACGCCATTGTACTACCTGACTATTTTAGAGCTTAACAAAACTAGAAACATTTCTATGCATTATAAAAATTCCATGACTTTTTATAAATTTTTATTTATATGACATTTTCAGAACTAGAATTCAAACTTTTAAAATTTCTAATATATCTAGATTTTGTAAAGCTTGTTTTGTCTTTATTTTAAATCATCTTGTATCCCTCATGGAAGTTTGCTGAGGCCCTTTAGTGGCTCCCAGCCCCCTGGTTGGAACCACAGCTGTAATACCTACTGTTTTCAGAGCAGCACATTCTTAATAAAACAGTAATAATCTGAATTAAAGGTACTTCTAACTACACAGCAATATCCCCAGAGTTAAATCAACTCTGCTCAGAGTACATATTGTCCCAATCTACAGTGTAAAAGTGTTAAAGTAACACTGAAGCAGAGTTACCACTGTTGAGGATTATGTGATATGTTTTCATGTCTAAAAGCCTGAGCAGTAGTTGTTCATCTTCAACATTGTTAAAAGCAGGTTTTCTTTACTAATTCTCACTCATCAATTAATTAATTGCTTAATTATCCCATTATCTTTAACTCAGCTTCAGTGTTACTTTAACACTCTGTAGATTGGGACAATATGCACTCTGAGCAGAGTTGATTTAACTCTGGGGATTTTGCTGTGATAGAAGTAACAAAATTGGTATTTTATTTTAAGTAACACTGATGTGACCTATACAGAAATTCAGTTTGACTCCCCTAGGTTAGGCTAAACTGTTTTTTAAATGAAAGGCACCAATATTTGTTGGGCTCTAATTAGATACAAACATCTGCAAATGCCTGATTTTTGAATACTACTTCTCTTAAAAGAGAAGAGCTGTTAGAGAAAGGTTCTATATAATTGAATTGCACATTGATGTGATTGTTGTGTTGTAGTTTCAGGAGACAGTTCAACTTATGAATTTTCACTTGAGCATCCGAAAGACCAGATCAGACTGGTTCTGCTGGGAAAAACTGGATCTGGGAAAAGTGCCACTGCAAACACCATCATCGGCAGAAACCTGTTTGAATCTTCAGTCAGTTCAAGCTCTCAGACTAAAGAGTGTCAGTCAGAAACTACAGTGAGGAAGGGTAAAAAGATCTCAGTCATCGACACACCTGGACTTTATGATACTGAACTCAGTAATAAGGAAGTAATGAAAGAAATAGTTAAATGCATAACATTCGCCTCTCCAGGACCACATGCTTTTATTTTTGTGATTAAAGTGGATCGATTTACTGAGGAGGAGAAAAATACAGTAAAGGAGCTCAAAGAAGTGTTTGGAGAACAGATGGAAAAATACACTGTAGTCCTCTTCACTCACAAAAATCAGTTAGAGAAGAAAAATACAACCATTGAGCAGTTTCTAGAAAATGGTAATCCAGATCTGAAAGAGTTTGTAAACAGTTGTGGAAATCGATTCTTCTGTCTGGACAATGAGTCTGCTAGTTTCTCACAGTTCAAAGATCTGATCAGTAAAATAGAGAAGATGGTGACAGAAAACGGAGGGACACACTTCACCAATGACATGTTCAAAGAAACAGAAAAAGACATTCAGGAGATTCAGAAGCGGAAACTGGATGAAAAAGTGGAGCGGTTCAAACAGGAGAACAAACAAGTCACTCAATCAGAATGGCAGAAAATATACTGGAGTTTAGTAGAGGAGACAAAACATGAAGCGCAGCAATCTTTTTTGGAACGTTTTTATGAAGTTTTTGAATTGCCTTTTGCACAGAGAACTGAAGAGGAAAAGAGTGGAATCAAGGAGGCACAGAGCAAAGGAATCAGTCGTGGAAAGGCTATTATACTTGCAATCAGAGCCTCAAGGAAACTAGCAGGCAAGAAAACGTGTAGCATTCAGTGAGTCATTTAATAATGATAGACAGTAAGACTACTGACAAGCTCCTTCAACTGAACTTAAAACATATGTTTTTGTTACTAATGAATTACTTTCTTGTTGATTATATCGAGACCATCTATGAAATGAAAGCTAAAAGTCAATGCATCTTTATTGGCATCTTTTGCTTATAGAAGCTATGTGTCACAATCTGTGATGTCATGCACTAGTCTCCGCAATACAGCAATGCACTGCATGAACTGCAAGTGATATTGAACAACTGTAAGAATTGTGTGGCATTAATCTGGAAGAATGAATAAATCTATTATTCTCACTCAGTCACGGCTGTGTATTCACATGATGCTTTACTAATCTGTTTGTACACTATGAATATGGCTGACCCTGTGACAAATTCATTGTGATGTTCTTTATTTGAAAGTTACTTTGTATATCTACTCAGTGCATGAATGTAAATCTGCTCAAACAATGCTTGTAAATCTGCTGCTGAAGTGAATCAATCATCTGAAACAACTGCAATTTGAGATGATTCAATTCAGTCTTTATCAATGTGATCATGTGATTGTTATTATATCTGTACAACATCAACCGGAGATTATTATTGACGGAATAAAGTTTATTGAACAAACCCTCGTGTTTCTCTGCTTATGCCTGGTGTCTTTTTGTTCAGTATTATGTGATTCTCGTCTGTATTCAGTGTTTTCAGCTCCAGCTCATGTGGTTCATGTAAATTCACAGTTCATTGATTTTCTACTCATTCCTACAAAGCAAAAACTTTATTAGGCCCTACTATCATTTTTCAGAATATGCAGGAATCAAGTGCCTCCTCTACACTTAGAAAAAAAATACAAATATTCCCTAAAAACACCCAGTAAAAACAGTGATGCGGTCAGGACCGTGGCGCCGGCTTCCTTTAAAATATGATTGCGCCTGCGCCCTCGCCCGCTCCATCAGTCAGAGAGAATGCTGATTGCCGACAGTGACAGAGATGCTGCTTCTTCATGCTCGAGAGCATGTCGGGGGATGCGCGCAGAGTGGTAAAATAATAGTTCATTATTGATTACTAATTTGAATCAGTACATTACAATGAAAACAAGCTTAAAAACCGGTAAACTCCTGTAAACTTTTCAGTCCAAGGATCCAGTAAACGAATGCGTTCAAACAGTAAATTCAAAACAGCTCTACTACAGAGAAAACCCAACCGATTTCATCAGAGATTGTGGAGAGTCGAGTCCAGATGTCAGTAAATTATTATTTTCAGCATATAGTTGGTTTAAAAGCAGGAGTGTTATACTGGATAGTGACTGAAGGTGTTTTAGATTATGCGTTGGTCTAGTTATTCTGAATGGATCGTATAGTAGCATGTACAGTAAGATCAAGACAGCAGATTTAGTGGTCTTTTGGCGTCTACCTGTGGTCCTATTTGGTATCGCAGCTTGACTGGAGCTTATTTATATTAAAAAGATGGTGGGGATGGGGGGATAAATTCTGGATAAATTGATTGTCACGATTTAAAAAAAAATCTATAAAGATCATTATTCTCCTACGAACAGACAACTAAACAATATAGCATGTAATGTAGGGTACTACAGGTTCTAACAAAATGTTAATGGCTGCAGTCTATTTATTTTATTTTATTTTTTAATTATTGCAAAATCTGCACCCCTTCTGTGGCAAATTTTTATTTCATAATGATTCTTACTCCGTGAAGTCAAGCAGCAGAAGTTAAGTGACAATATGCAAATACTACTGTCCCATTTGGGGTGAACTAAATATACAAGACTAGTTTTACACGTCTGAACAAAATAACTATTAAGATTTACTTAAAAATATTTTGGTAACAAATTGCACGAACACATTTTAAATAAATTGTACTGCTCTAATATCAAGTACAACTTACTCACTATTATTAAGTAAAATATACTAACTAAACTTAACATTCATGAAGAAATTAAATCTAATTGCACCCTA